GAGCTGCACATCCCTGTCCTGGGGCTGCACATCCCTGTCCTGGGGCTGCACATCCCTGTCCCTGAGCTGCAGGTCCCTGTCCTGGGGCTGCACATCCCTGTCCTGGGACTGCACATCCCTGTCCTGGAGCTGCACGTCCCTGTCCTGGGGCTCTGCCCACACCCTTCACCAGCCAGAGCTCGCTCAGAGCTGCCCAGGGCAGTGCTCAGGTCACCCTTCCAGCTCCAGCCTGGTCACATCCAGCTGGGAATGGGGCAGGAACAGTGAGACAGGCTCGGAGCAACCAACCTGAGCAGCTCCACGGCCCTGGCAGGGACAGCAAAGGGCAGAAGCCACTGGAGGCAGAGGGTGGGACCTGTGATGGCTTTGGGAGCAGAGTGTGGAACCTCTGATGGCTTTGAGAGCAGAACATGGTACCTCTGATGGCTTTGGGAGCAGAACATGGTATCTGTGATGGCTTTGGGAGCAGATCATGGTCCCTCTGATGGGTTTGAGAGCAGAACATGGTATCTGTGATGGCTTTGAGAGCAGAACATGGTATCTGTGATGGCTTTGGGAGCAGAACATGGTACCTGTGATGGCTTTGAGAGCAGATCATGGTCCCTCTGATGGCTTTGGGAGCAGATCATGGTCCCTCTGATGGCTTTGAGAGCAGAACGTGCCTTCCCTTCACAGCCCCCCCCAGGAACACCCCACCCAGCCCAAACCCTCCTCTCAACCTTTCCCTGCCTTCTTCCCCTCATTATCCCGAGGGAAAACAAAGATTTTTTTCTTTAGATCCCATCGTTTGTGAGGACTTTTTTTTGGGGGGGAGCAGCAGCAACATATGAAGTGCCCAAAGAATTCCTGCTGTTTTTCGTGGCACTGTGGATCAAGGGGAAAAAAGATTTACTTTTCCTCGATAAGCACAATTGTGGATCTACTGAATTTGTAACAAGCCATTCAACAACAACAAAAAAAAGAAAAAACCTGCCCTAGAAATCTTTATAACTTTGTAGGCAACCAGCCCCCGTGATCAAGTCTTACAGCACTACTTCATAAATTCGAAATCAATCACGAGAGAGGCATATTAAAATAATTTGTATCAGCAGGGACTGATTTAAAGCCCAGCTCCTCATCCATCAAGGAGGTGCTTTCCTTGGCGAGCAGATCTCTCCAAAGTGCAGGAAAAGCTTCGCCAAACCCATCAATAATAAAGAGAAGAAGCTCTCGCAGAGCAAAGGGACGGAGGGAAAAAGGGGAACGAGTCTCGTAAACTTCTTTTTTTCTTCACAGGATCCCGCTCCAAAAATCACGGAGTCAACTCAGTTGGAAAAAAACCTCTGAGGTCTTCGAGTCCAAAATAATTATGGGAGACAGATGCTGCTGCGACTTTTGAGCTTTTATTGAAGGATAATTTAGGATAAATTTTAATACACGGAAATTGGGTTGTTTTGTTTCGTGTTGTGGTTGGTTTGGGGTTTTTTTCTATGGGGCTCAGAGGGGATACAACACTAAAGAAGGGGGGGAAAAAGGCAGGGGGAAAAAAATTGGAAGGTGACAAAGTTTTCACTGGGGAAATCCGGGAAATTCTTTATCCCTTGGAAAAGCGATGCAAAGGGAAAGGTTCCGCCCTTTTCCCGGTTTTCCCGTGGTTTCTGTTGAGCCGCAGGAGATCGTCGCTGCCGGCCGGGAGATTCCCGGGGCTGGGGGGTGTCCGTGCCCTCCTTCTGCTGAGCTCTGTGTCACCAGCGCTGCCCCAAAACCATCCTGGGAGGGTTTTCCCCAAAAAAATCATCATCTCCCTTGAAAACGAGAGAGCTTCGAAACCTCCCCGGCTGCTGGAAGGACCTTCTGTTTTCTCCCCTCTGTCAAGCGGCGTTTAAACGTGAACTACCTCGACTCCTTCCGCAGGGAACACAATTAAAGCGTCATTAAGAAAGCGTTTTTCTCCTCTCCTTTCCCATAATAAACGAGTCGGGCTCGGGGTTTCCGCGCTGAAACACGCGGTAAATCCGCGGGTGTTTGGGGCAGAAGGGGTTGGAACCGGGGCTGGGTTCCAAGCGCTGCTGCTGTTCCTGCCAGCAGTGCCAATATTTTCAGGTGTGTCACGTTCGGAGCGGCTCACAGGGGGAAATATTTGGTTGTGGCAACTAAAAAACAGAATCCTCCCTTTATTTCTCGCAGACAAATTAAAAATAGAACCGAGGTTAAAGCCACTTTTTTGTTGTTCGTTTGTTTGAGGGGGAAATTTTTTTGCCCTAAATTACGGAAATCCCTCAGGAAAGGCTTTTTGTTGGCGGCTTTTGATCTTTTAGCTTGGCAAGGGACTCTTTGAACCCTCAGTGAAGGCAGCGAGACTTTGCTTTTAGCCCAGGAACAGTTTGTTTGGCAGCCTTTTGGCGGTGCAAAAGCCTCTCCGTTTGTTGTTTTCCCTCTGTTTCTTGCCGTCTTCCCACGTGTCCTGCTGTCTGAGGAGAAAAAAAATGGGAAGATGTAGAAAAAAAACAAAAACAAAAACAAAAAACCGAGAAGACTCCAAGCACGGGAATGGAAAAGAAGATTATTCGGGGAAAGTTGATGAAGGGAGAAAAGCCTGAGGTAAGATTTTCCCAAGGTAGTATTTCCCTGAATTAACTCCGGGGGGAAGATCAGGAGAATCCGGGAGATTCTTCACCCCTTCCCATTTTTTTTTCTCTTTTCCCCTGGACCGAAACTCTGGAGTTCTGCCCCCTGCCCGGGTGTTTAATCACCGGGGGCTGTGATGACCTCCAGGATTTTATAGCTGTTCCCAAACCCGTTAAATCCCGTGGGATTAGTGTTGTGGCCACTCAAAGGGAGCTCGTGTCTGACTTTAAAGGGATTCCCCTCAGGGTTCTTTGGGAATCGGTGTGAAAGGACTGGAGAGCCAGGACACAGAGCTCACACTGCCCTTCCTCCCGGGGATGCTCTGCCGGGCTGGGAATACTGGGAATGCTCTGCCAGGCTGGGAATACTGGGAATGCTCTGCCAGGCTGGGAATACCGGGAATGCTCTGCAGGGCTGGGAATACCGGGAATGCTCTGCCAGGCTGGGAATACCGGGAATGCTTTGCAGGGCTGGAAATCCTCGAGCAGAAGTTCTTGTCGAGGGCTCTGGGGACAAACTCTGCCCTCCCTGGGACCCTCCAGCTCTCAGGTAGGAGCTCCCGATCCCAAACCCTCTGGAAGCTCGCACGGGCTTTGTGCCAAGCCCCCAAACAGGCGGTAAAAAGCTTCCCAGAGCCCCAACGCCCCGGGCAGGGGCAGGTTCGGCTCCCACCGCATCCCTGGGACATCTCAGGTCTCTGCTACCCACCCACCCCGATTCCCTAAATCACCTCCCGGGGGCTTCCCAGGCACCGCCCCAGCTCTCACCCCCTTTGGAACCGCTTTGGATTTACCCTGTGGTTCTGCCTTCTTTTTTTAGGGGAGCAAAGATTGGTTTTGCACCAACCCCCTTTGCAATAATTCTGATTTCCATCACATGTAGGTTTGCTCCTCTGACGAAAGGCTCTCAGAAAAGTCTTTTGTTACTGTTGCTGAGGCAGACTTCAGCTCGCTGCTAGCTAAAGCCACCTCCCTCTTGTTGGTTCCAAGCAGAACAGAATAACCCTTACTTTCGTTCATTTTAGGTTTTAATCCCCCCAGATATATTTTTACGGATTAAAATCTCTATTTTTCCAACACACAATAAGCAACACGTATGTGTGCGCTTTATACTTTACATAAACGTTGCAGATGTATAAAATCCATCCCTTTTTCCCCCTGCTGCAGTTTTTTGTGGCAGGACTGTGCCTGGTCCCACAGATCCCAGGGCAGAGCAAACGTCCGTGAACTCCCCACCCTCCCGGCAGGGCTGACCTGTGCTCCCCACGCTGAAAAGCAGCTCCTGCCTCTCTCGGTCCTCTCTTCCCCCGGCCCGGGGGCTTTTCCTTTTTTTAACCCCAGATGATTTTTCATTTGGTGTTCATTTGGAGTGCCGAGGGCCGGTTTTGGGGAGGGCTGGCCGGGCTGCAGAGCCCCGGGCGTGACCCCAGCCCCGCTCCTCGGGCCGAGCCGGGCCGGTTCAGGGAGAATTCATCTCAGGCTGAACTCTGTGTGAACCTGGGCCCGAGGGGAAGGGAACCCGACAGAGCAAGGCTGAGGGAGGCAAGTCCTGAGCAAACCCATCAGGCTGAGTAAATATTGAAGGAGCCCACGTGAAGGCCGGGGTTGAAATGGAGCTGTCAGAGCAGAGTAAACTGAAGGGAGAGGTGAGGCCTCTGAAGAGCCGGGAAACCTTCTGGGCACTCACTCCAGCAATTGTTCCTTCCACCCCAACCCTTTGCCCCAGCCCTCGTTTCACCTGCCTGAGAGGCCAAACCAGCCCTGAAGCTGCTCGGTGCTGAAATGTCTGTGTTGGTGGAAGCAAAGGGCCCGGGGCAGAGGGGTGAGCGAGGGGACAGCGCTGTGGGGTGGCCCCTTCAGTGCAGAGAACCAGGACCCTACAGCTGGGGTCAGGCAGCAGATCCAGGGTCTCCTGCACTTAAATCCGGGTGACCTACGCAGCATCAATCCTGAAGAATAAATATACTCTATATTTGATGCACACACAAGTGAAATGCACTGTCTATAAACACATATAATCCAAATAAACACATGTCTAATCCAAATATATGCCCAGCTCCCACCATCTAGCCCGATGGTGGTGCTGGGCAGGGGAGGTCCCTGGGGATGAGCTGTTGGATGTGCCAGTGGGGATCTGGGGGCAGCTGCACTCACCCAGCACCTCCCACAGCTGCAGGTCCCTTGCCTGCTTCTCCAGGGATTTTAGTGACCCTCAATAATATGTCCGGGCCAAACTATTGCGAAAACTTATCAGGCAGGAAAATCCTCCCTGCTTTACCTGATTTAGGGTGAATCCCTTGGCAGTGTGGGGGTGGAAGCAGGTGCATGGGCACCCTCCTGCCTTGGTGCCACTTGCAGAAGATGCACCAAACTCTCACCTCGGTTCTGACTCACCCACCGCGGGATGGAAACACCTCACGCTCATCTCGCCCTGGTTTTGCCGAGAGCTGGGGAAGGGGCAGCCTCTGACCCATTTTGGGGTGTGAAACGAGTCTGGAGAAACCCAAAAGCCTTCCTCCCGTCTTCTCCTCCACTTCAAGGCTTCAAAGGCTTTTAGGGCCAGTGACAGCCCAGCCCGGCCACAGCTGAGCCGCCGAGGGGGAGGTTTTGTCCCCAGACAGAGACCCCCGGGAAAGCTTCACACCTTCGGTGCAAAGAGGCTCCGGGAGCAGTTCAAAGCAGGCAGCCAAGTGGGGTTGAAAGTGAGGAGGTCTTCCGGGTATTATTATTATTATTTTTTAATAGAATGTCCTCTCCCCAGATCAAAAGGACCCCACGTTGTGAGAACAAATGCTTTAGGGACAAGAGAAACATTTCACACCGAGGGGTAAGGAACAGATGGCCCTGGAGGAGCAACTCGGGTCTCTGCTCCGGGGACAGGGACAGAGGAGAGGGACCCTCGATGTCCCTTCCCCGTCCCCTCCTCCTGCCGAGGGACAGCAGCTCCAGCCCGGTGGCTGCCGTTAACGATTTACACGGTTCCATTTCTCTGACTGGGAATTTCTCCTTCCTTTGGGATATTAAAAGAATAAATCTCCATTAAGACGTGGCTTTGTGTGTGAGTGTAACGGGGGTGGGGGGACTCGGCTCGTTTTCCTGCTCATGAAAAATGCAATAGCAGGGAGCCACGGACAGGCACGTGGAGACAGGGGAATATCCGGATTATGAACAGCCACGGGTTGTGCATCATTTATATATTAAAAAAAAAAAAGACTGTGCGTAGACCTCATATTTGTGATAAAGCCCAAGTATGGCAACAGGGCCAAGCCTTGATTAGAGGCTTCTGGACGATCTTCCTGTGTCCCACATGGACACACAGGTACCTGTGGGGGTACTGAAGGCCCAGGGGCCGCTCTCCATCAGCTCCGGGTGCGGGACAGACACGGGTGTCCCTCAGCTCTCACTGGAGCATCGACCCCCGGCCGCGGGTGTCCCGGCGTGGCCTTTCCAGCCGGCTCCTGCTTCCCAGCGGTGGGTTTGGGGCTCCTGAGACAAAAGGGAGCGTGAGAAACTCGGAGGGAGAGCAAGGGGGGGGTGATGGTCGTTAGAGAAACAGGGCTGGGCAGCGAGGGGGCGAGGGACGGGGGCCGAGGGGGACCCGGGGGGGGTTCCATATGTAAGGGCGCAGCGGCCCCGGCTCCGAGGGCTCTTCCGGAGACTCCCTTTGAGTTTCAAATGGGAACGGGAGCCTTTGTTGTGCCCGCCAGGCTGACACAGCGGTCCCCTCCTCTTTATCCCGGCCTTTCCCCTCTGCCCCGGCCCTTCCGAGGGCCCGTCTCACCTGGCAGCGAGCTGATCCCGGGCCTAGAGCCGGTCCTAGGCCCGGTGCCGGTGCCCTGCGGGAGCAGAGCCGGGCACAGAAACGCATCGGGGGGGAAATGGTCTGGGTGGAAAAGCACGAGGTTCCTGAGGCTCGACGCCCTTGTTTCCATGAGCCAGCTGAGATCACACAGGGGCAACGAAATCAACCAAGCCGGCTCCCCCCGACAGGTTTTAAAGTCCGTTTTAGCTGCTCGGGAGTTTTGTTGGTTTGTTTTGTGTTTTTTTTTTCTCTCCTGGCGTTTTGCACAAAATCCTCTTTTCGCATTTCCCCCCTCCGCTTTTTTTCCCTCCCCGCCTTATCTCCGAGCTAATTGGGCACTCAAAACCCTTTCCTTTGGAGCAAAAGAGGTGTGTTAGACGGGGTAAGATGTTCTCGGCGGGGCAGAGCGATGCCCCAGGGCCCTCCCGGGGAGCCGGGACAGGGGCCGGGCTCGGCAGGTACTTCGCTCATTCCTCTCCCCCCTCCCGCCCCCACCGAAAAGGTTTGCAAATTTGGCGAAGCCAGAACAATGGTTTCTCCTGGCAGCCCCTCTGTTTACTTGTTTGGAAATCCCGGAGGCGTTTCGAGGTAAAAAGGTCAGAGGAGCTCCACAGGGCCCGCTGCCTCCCCCCGCCCCGCCGGGCTCCGTCCCCCCCAGAGCTGCTCTGGTGTGTTATTCGTGTGGGGAAAACACCCTTGCAGGGTCGTCTGGGGAAGGTGAAGCGAAGGATCCACACTGACGCTTCGTTTTGGTTTGGAGCCCTATAAACGTCCCGTATAAACGAGAAACTCGCTCTGCCCCCAGCCCGGACCCGAGTCCGTCCCAGTCGCTGTCGCTGCTTCTGAGGATGAGGATGATTTCCCCTTCTCGTCAGGCCTCGTTGCCTTGGGAAATAACTCCGAGAGAAGCGGAGTTTCCATCCTGTCCCGACGGGGCGAGCTGGGCTTTGAAATCCCGCAGGGCCGGGCCCGATCCCGGCGGTGCCAGGGGGGATCCGGGGGGTACCGCAGGAAACAGGATCGGCCCCTTTGTTTGGGAGCTTTGGCAGCAGCCGGAGACTTTTTCCTTCCTTCCTCCTCCTCCTCCTCCCTCCAAGCCCGGGCTCCCCCCGGCCCGCGTCCCGCACTTCCCCGGACGGGAGGGATTCCCGTTCCGTTAAAACCGGGAGGACTTCCATGTGGAAAAAGTAAACTTTATTAGGCTGAGGTAGCTTCATTTCGGGATACAGAGCACGGGGAGGGGAGCGGAGGGGAAAGGGGAGATTCCGATTAAGAAACCGCTAGTTTTTCCTCGATGACGTTTTTCCCTTTAAAACGATTTTTAACGAACAGTTGCCCCGGTTTTTCACTTCACTCCTACCCTGAAACTTCTCGCGGGGGAGGGAAAACATTTGGCCGTGGTTAAATAGTGGGTTTATCTGACCCCGATAAACCTGAGAGGGTGGGGGTGCGAGGAACGTGCTGCTGCGCTCCGAGACTTGAGGCTATCGAGAGGTCCAATAAATAGCAGCCAGTGCATCAGTGCAACCTTGTTCCCATCCACCTTCACACCTCCTGCGACAGCGACCGAAGTACCCCGAGGCCTCACCTCGCTTTCTCTGATAACCCTCCCCCAGGAGCAGCACCAAGCAGTCACCGTCGCAGAGCGTGTGGAAAAAAAAACCCTGTAAAGCAGAAATAGTGCAAAATGGTAGCAGAGGAGCTGCTTTTTTTTTTTTTTTTTTTTTTTTTTTTCTTGGTTTGGGTCTTTGCACAGGCCTCGAGCGTCTCGGGCGCCTCAGATCTCGTTCCAAGATATACACACAGTAAATAACGGGGAGAGGGGGAGGGAAGAAAAAGTACCCGAAACTTTTTTTTTTTAGCGTCTCGCGAGGAGGAAAAACACATCGAACGGGAGATTCGTGCGGGGAGAAATCGTCGCGCACGTTTTTGTTTTTTTTAAGACGGGAGAGGACTAGATTCGTTTTAAACTTTTCCGTGGTCGAAAGTGCAGTTCCTAAAGGGCAGAGGGGAGGAGGGAGAGGGAGAAACGTCCCTGAGACAAACGCCTATTGCTGAGGATAGAGGAGGACACGGCTGCTCCTTTGGAGTCCAGTGGCTTTGCAGAGGGTCTATAAATTAAGCGAGAGAGAAAGGCGAGTGGGACAATCGGTGTCACGCGTGGGGAGCCGAAGGGATGCTCGGAGGGGCCGTGCGGGGGAGGCTCGTGGTCCTGCCCTGCTGGGCTCTGCAGACCCCCGAGGGCAGAGCTCTGTGCCCCTCTGACGCCTTTCAGGAGGACATGGAGCTGGGGGAGGCCTCGGGTGAGGTGCAGTTGGACTGATCCGAGGCTTCGCCCGCCTCCTTCGCGGACCTGGAGGCGGCAACCGGGGCGAGACCTTCCTTTTCCCTCTTCTTCTGCTTCATCCGCCTGTTTTGGAACCAGATCTTGACCTGGGTTTCGTTGAGCTCCAGGGTAGCGGCGATCTCCACCCTGCGGGCCCGGGTGAGGTACTTGTTGAAGTGGAACTCCTTCTCCAGCTCCGTGAGCTGCTTGGTGGTGAAGTTGGTGCGGATGGCGTTGGGCTGGCCCAGCAGTCCGAACTCCGACACTTTGGCTGGGAACGACCAAAGAAAACAGGGCAGGAGCGGCCGGAGGAAGCCCCTCTCTGGGGCGGGGGGGCTCTCCCCCGCTCCCCTCCTCTCCCGGGCCTGTGGTCCCTCCACCGCCCGGACCTTCGCGCTCCCCCCCGGCTCCTCGCATCTCCCGGCCCGGGGGGACGGAGCTCCTCGGGCTCTTCCCTCGGAACCATTCCCTCCATCTCCCTGAAAACTGCGGGAGAGCAAACTGAGCGGGAAGGGGTGGAAGGGGAGGGTGAAGGTGATGATGGGAGAGGAGGAGGGAAGGCTGTGATTTAAGGAAGGTCGTGGAGAAGGAAGTTGAACAATAGGGGAGATGGAAAGCCACGGCTGTGGAAGAAGCAGGAAGCCCGGAGCGCTTCCCGTTCCGAGCTGGGCTTAAATCGCGTTGGGCCTGCGGGAAACCGAGCTCAGGGACCGTCCATCGGAAGAGTCTGGGAAACCTCTGGCTGGGATTTAAAAAAAAAAAAAGAAACCCCACAAAGCCAAACCCACCCGAACCAACACAAACCCACGTTCTCATGGAAGACGAGCCCAGTCACCTCGGGCACAGACCCCGGGGAAGGGAACCTTTCCCTGGCAGGGCTGAGGAGCTGCCCCCCACCTCCCTCGGGTGGGGACCCCCTGGCCGAGCCCCGCTCCCCCCAAACTCACCTGTCTTGGGCGGGTTCCTCTTCACCCTCATCCAGTCGAAGGTCTGCGCGGCGCCGGGCCCCGGCTCGGGGGGGCACGCGGGGTCTCGCTCCTCGTTCAAAGAAGGCGAGAGGTTGCCGTAAACGCCGGGCAAGTAGCCGGGCTGCTCCTGCCCGTAAAGGTGCTGCTGCTGGTACTG